ACTCTTTGAATCTTCAACCATCGTGGATCTTGGAGCAAAGTGATGGAAAGATGAGACGGGGCGCAGAACATATGTAGTTGCTCTCGGTGGAATCAGGTGCTCCGTCTTCACCACATCGACAAGCTCAAACAACTTGATGGTGTCAATCAGCATAGGTGAGTGTGCTTGTTTACCATCTGCATCTGTCACTTTGTCAACACTTTTTGGAATATCATATTCTGCAATGACCACACCAGCTGAGGTAGAAAATTCCTGAAAAGTAGGATCTGGCTTGTAGTACTTAGCAACATCTGCATGCTTACGATCATCATCAATTACTTCCACAGTTTTGGGCTTCCCGTTATCTTCATTCATGGCTTCAAATACACTGCTCACCTCATCTTCACCACGTGGTCCAGTGCGGAGTTTCGTTGCTCCAAGTGCATCCTCTATAGTCGGGGTAGGTAGTGTGGTGGTGTCTTCCACCCTGTGAACAAATTTGTCTATAACATTCTTTGGTGTCTTCTCAAAACAAATATAATCCAAATCATGTAGCGGAGCAAATCGAATCTTGAACTTTTCAACAAAATCCGTCCAACCATCAATTAAGCCACCACGCATACGCCAATTAAACCAAGCCAATGCAGAGCCCTCTAACATTGATGCCACACGGTTCAAACGATCAACTAAAGGGACGTCATAAAACTGGAAATACTCACATACCATAGCTAACCACTGCACAGATTTGGTTCCGTCACATCTTGGGGGTAACGTTGGTGGAGAAGGTGCACCTGTTACTTTTCGTATAATACCCATTATGTTCGCTCTGAAAATTTGTAACTCAAAAGGAATTTGAATTGGCACAATTGGAGGTCCACGAACCAAATCCTGTACCGAGCAAAAAATTTCTACGTGGAGTGCATCATAATTAATTTGACCTTCAAAATGACGGATCGACCTGAGCTTTTTAATAAATTCATACACGTGATCAAAAGTCATACACACTCCTTCGTCATACTCAATTTCCTCATAAAAAATATTTTCCAACAATCCAACAAGTTTGTCTAATGCACCGGTCGTCAATGAAATATAGGAGTCAGCCATCATGTCAACTCCACGCACAGAGAATTAAGGGTGACAAACCAAATAAGAAAAGTCACTTACCAAGCAATTTTGACAACCAAATTAGTGGGCCGAAATATTACTCAAAAGTGCGAGTGGGCCGCACCAAAAATCACAAAGGCTCCAATTGTATATTTGTATCTCCCAATTTACTGTGTTACTGTGCTGGCACTCCAAATTGCAGCAAAGCCTTCTCTTTTTTTTTCGTGCTTGTCGTTGTGCAAATCAAGAAAACCTGGAAGCTGCTTAATATGGATGGAAACCCAATGAATTGCTCCGTATAATCCGAAGTATCTAAAGCCTCCCAATGCTCCAGGCACACAACAATTTGACTCTCTGTTCGCGATTCAAGGCAGCGACGAGGGGCGCGGCAGTGAAGCAAATTCTGATCCGCGGCAATGAATCTGGCTCACAACTCACAAGCACAACCTTTTCTAAATTAAATCAAAATTGGAGTGGAGTAGGTGGTGAAAAATCAAAATGGCAGACGACAATAGATTTGGCCAAGGTTGGAGTTGAATCGCCCTTTGAGTTTACAGATGATTTGTTTTTTTTTGAAGATCTCTCAACGAGAGCACCAATTGATACGAATATCGTATCAGATAGGGAAGAACTTCGAGCGTTCTTCAAGCTCCAAGAATATGAGGTAGAGAAATGTGGAAAGCTTCGAGAGTTTCCGAGCTCCTAGAAAAGAGAGACGAGAGATTAAGAGAATTCTTGTTTATTGATTGATTTAATAATAATAACGAAAGGTTACAATATATAAAGATGCAGAAAACCCTAATTGACCTAATGGGCTCGGGCCCGTACTAAACCCTAATGTATAGAATATTAATAAATAATAATAAATAATACTAATTAATAAATAATATAACTAATATATTTTCATATCAAATACACTCATCATTTTAATGAATCGAACCTCGTAAGTAACACAATTCGATTCCAATGTAATGAGAATCCCACTATTTTAACAAATACCGAGTGTGTTGAGATGGATTACAAAAAAATCAATATTAAATAGTATAAGTCTTTCTTAAAACTGAACGGCCTGATTATTTTACTAAAATTCAACAAGACAAGTCCTAACCAGATCAAAGAGTCCTGAAAACAATTTTTTTAAACAAATACTGAGCTTGTCGGGAATAAATACAAAAGTAAATACCGAAACAATTCCATCTAAAATAGTATCGATCTTCCTAAGAAATTGATGAATCTCATCATTTTACTCAGTTTTCACAATACTCTTTGGCAATGTGTGCATCAATTGTCCTGTGGCGGGAGCTATGCGGGCCATGTCACAAGCGTATATCGTGGGCCTTTGTGTGTTGAATGCACTATAATGCTACGCTTCTTCTAGCACCAATTAATTTTAGAAAATCAAAGTTGGTAGCATTTGAGGTCCTACAAGTCGTATCAGAGCCAAGGTCAAGAATTTGTTTCTCGGCAGGAGTAATTGCTGAGGTGGATTATTGGCCATGTGTGCATGGACACCATAACATTAGGTTTTGATTCAAGGAATTTGAAAAGCAAAAGAAAAAAATAACATGGAAAATAGTTTTTCTTGTTAAATTAGATAATACTACCTCTGCCCCAGTTTGTCCAGTTTGACTTTTTCAAGTAAAAGTGGAGAAACTTTGAACTCCAATTACTCTCAATTTATATTGCATATTAGAATAATGAAATACATTTTTAAAAGTTCTCTATACTATAAATCCAATAAAGTCATTTTTGTGTTAAAATATATTATGATTTTTATTTAATTAAAACTCACAGTTTGTCTAGATTGATTCAAAAAAGTCAAACTAAATCTTTGTTATCTTAAGTGAGAAAAAATGCAAGAAAAAGAAAAAGACAAAATGTACTTAAGTGAGAAAAAACTAAATCTTTGTTATCTTTTCAATTTTTTAAAATCAAACATAGTGTAAATTTTCTTAAAAATTGTAACTTAATTTGCACTCCGTAACTTACTATATTAGGAATTTTACTTTTACAAAGAATTTAAAAGGAATTTATGTAGACAGTTACTCCGTATCATTCTATAGCACGACCGGCTTCTCTCCTCCGGGGTCCATGCCATTTTGCACTCCACTTTTTGGAAGGCATCGGCGGTTCAGCCGAAATTGCAGGAACCATTGAGAAACTTATCCCTCTATAACTCATCATCGTCTTCCCCTTCAAAGGTAATTTCCAGCTCCTCCCAGTACCTTAATTCATATTCCTCATTCCTAGTAAGTAGTAGTTCATTGTTCATATTTTGTTGATTCCGTCCTGCCAATACATTATTTCATACGCAGTAGTTCTCATTTCTAGTAGTATTCCGTAGTTCCTGCCCCGAGTATTTGGTTGATTTGCTCGATTGCTTCTTGTCTGTGAATTTGAGATGGACTGATTCTACTTTAACAGACCTATATGGGAATGAATTTCAGAGAATGAATTCCTAAACAGTACACATCCAAGGAGGTTCTTGTTGAAGCATTGTAGATCTGTGAGAGGGAGGAATTGATCATTGTGAAGGTAGACTTGGGTTTATCATTGTGGTTATACACTGATTAATTTTTTTTATATTTTGTTTGGATTTGTGTGGGGACTTATGGAAAACAATGGTTTTTTATATGTTTGAACTTTATAGTATATGCTGTTCAGTATGTGACATTTTGATTGTTTTTCCATTGTGTGTTTGAGAGGGGTTGGTTGGAGTTGTTCATCATCTATAAGCTAAGAAAGACAACTTTTACTCATGTTCTTGTCGAATTTGTCAATTGTGTTATTTGTCATACCCGGAGTGTATTATATGTGTACTTTTTTTAATTCTGATCCATAATGGACTTTGATGATCGTAACTTTAACACAAATTAATGCAGAGTATGAAATTAGATGTTGAATAAAAAATGTCTAAACCCGTGGGTCAGCTTGAACCTTAGCACTCTGAGCCATGGACAAGCAGTCATTGACCCAAAACCGTACTCAAAGGCCTTAGACTCATAACCAAACCCCACCCGATCAACTTGTTTGCGAGCTCTAGTTCAACACATGAAGATTTGAAAGTGATGGCTACTTTAACCTAGAATATGATGAGTGTAAAAGTGTGAAAATTTTAAATATATATGGAAGCAAAATTCAAACCCAAAATCTTTAGACAAGTTGCACGCTACCACCGAAGCAAATCTTAATATCTTACGGAATATTTTTGTTTTATTACTTATTACACATTGAAATATGCCTGGTGGTTGTTGTTACTAATATCCATTCTACTTCTCTCACAATGTACAGGGTATAACAGGGAAGCAATATAAACCATGGATCAAAATTCTTGCACTAGTAACAAGAGGCACGAAAGGAATTCCAATAGTATCAGGATATGTGATCTGCCTGACCCAATTCTCCAGCTTATATTATCATCCCTTCCCATAAAAGATGCAATTGGAACGAGTGTACTTTCCAAAAGGTGGGAACATCTATGGATGGGTATTTCCAAAATTTCGTTGAAAGAAGAAGGAACTTGGGAGAAAAGGAGACAGTTCATAGTTTTCGTGACGAAGTTGCTTGAAGTTTTCGATTGCACAAATCTTGAAAATTTGCTGACATTTCGAGTTGGGGGGCATGCTTCTGAGGTTAACGAGTGGCTAAGTGGCTTCATCAACCCTAAGATTCAGGAATTAATTCTCTGCCTCGATGGAACGAATGAATCTGAGAAACCATTGACCTTCCCTGACCACCTGTTTACCTGTTCGACATTGACAACATTTGGATTAAGGCTGCGAAATGTTTTCAAACTTCCTTCTTCCATTTATTTCAAAAGCCTCAAGACTTTATGCTTAGTAGATGTTACATTACCTGATAGATCTTCAACAGAACAACTTATCGCAGGTTGCCCGGCCCTGGAGCAGTTGACCTTGATGGATATCAACTGGGTGAATGTTGAAACTCTTTGTATTTTCTCTGATGTCCTTCAAAAATTGGAGATAATTGAGCCGGTAGAATATGACGTTCTGGCTCGTGAAGATGAAGATGAAGACGAAGACGATGATATGGGTGGTCAGGATGAGCAAAATTGTTGCAATATAGTGATCAGTGGGACTAATTTGAAGGTGTTTTCTTACACTGGCGCAGTCACAAGTGAAATTTCCTTTCACAGTCCAGCATCAGTGATCGATGCGTCTATTCATGTTCAACACCGTTATAGTAAATGCATGGACAACTTTGACTGGGAACCAGCAGCCGGTAGTTATGTGGTTGATCTTCTAAAAGACCTACAGGATGTGGAAAAGCTCTCGGTTTCTTTTGTTTCCCTAATGGTTTGATATCAACATCAAAGAATCATCTCTCTCTTTTTAACATTAACACTAATGGCTATTCTAAATCTTTTTGATGGTTTGTTCCAGGCTCTCAGTCGTGCGTTGTCATGGGAGCGTCTACCGTTGTTTTCCAATTTGGTCGAGCTTCACGTGGTTTCAACCATTATAAGTCTCACCTGTGAGGGGTTGATTGCTATAATTCAAAAGTCACCATGCCTCCAAGTTGTTCACTTTGACGTAATAACTTTCTCACCAGAATTTTCACTTCTTTTGACGCCGAAAAAATATATTTGAAATATCACTTTTAACACATCATTAACATTTCCTTGTATCGTTCGTTTTAACGACGCAGAAAGGGGTGTACATGCTTAAATATCGCAGCTATTGCGGCTATATCATGGATCCAGTGCCTGTTCTGTCTAGAACACAGCTGAGGAGGATTGTGATCAAGCATTACTCTTGGGATAAGTTTGATGCAGTAAAGACTTTGCTGCAAGCATTACCGGTTCTGGAGACACTGCATATTAGTTGTTCAGGTGATGGTAACTCTCCAACTGGATCAGAGAGGTTAGACAACTTGTGCCAGAAGATCAAAAGTCTTCCCAGACGGTCGAAAGATTGTGAGATAGTCTTGAAATATATGAAGTGAAAAATTGAAAGAATGGAACGACGTTTGGGCTTTGCTGCACTGCTTATACTTGTGTAGCTCATGAAGTCAATTTTGAAACAAAGTTACTTGAGTTGATGGTTCTTATTATGAATCTTTTGACCACATGTTTGACATTTTGCAAGTTTTCTCATTAGTTAATGTTGATGGTTTCAGTGTCATGGGATTATGTTGCGTAATCGAATTTAATTTGAAATTATGTGAATCATACAAAGTAATAAATGCTGAGGGTATCATCCTAAGCAAAGGAGTTGGGGTCTAAGGGTATCAGCCCCCGGTATTGGCCCCAAAGGGTAGAGCCCCTAGCTCGGGATTTTTTCAAAAATAAAAAATAAAAAATTGGGCAAGTGTTGCCTTATGGAGATTCATTGGGTTTCTATGATATTCGGAAAAGGACGGAAGAATCCAAATTTTATGATATGGATTCGAACAAATGATTTCAAGTGATTTCCACGAAAAGGCTTACTCTCAAGTGTTTGAAATACTTTCATCTAGTATCTGAATATTATACGAAAAGTTGCTTTTGTTCATCCCAACTAACTTTGAATACTCAGATACTAGATGAATAATTAACTTGATTCGTCAAAAGAGACTTGTCTAGTTGAATTTTTAAAACAAGTGTAGAGGCGATATGGTATGTTTCATATATAGAATATTACATATATGTTTTAAATATTGTACGTCTTACTTGATTGAAGTCTTTTGGAATACTACCGAAAGTTTATCTGATTGTTTCACTTACTACAAATCCTTTAAACACGCATAAAAATTACTACAATTAATGATTACTCCATAAAACTTTCCTACATTTAATGACTTCTCAAAATGTATGAACTACATTCTACTTCAATTAGTGGTGAGAGTATAAAGGATAATTCAATAACAAAATTTCCATAACTTTTTTTAGGTGTCCTAAAAAAATGAATTCTTTTCTCATGAAGTAATAATCTTATTTTTGACATTCAGGTCAAATAGATGACTACACTATATTTCAGACCTGCACTAAAAATAAATTCAATTTGACCACACTTAACTATGTTTAGAGATAACAACTTCTATCTGACTCAATGGATAATTAAATTACCCAACCTGATCTATTGAATGAAAACTTGAAAAGAAAAAGATGATAAATGATGAAGAGATTGATGATGGACTATGTCCAATGTAAGTGAACATTTTTTTCACCAATTACCCGACCCTTCATCTTTGCTTTAAAAAACAATTAAGATTAGAAATACTCCGTATTAGGTTTATTGAGTACACGAGTTTATTCTATAATCCAATGTCCTAATTTATAAAAAAAATTAGTTTGTAACTTAGAACATTGTTTTTTAATTTTTACCATAAATATCATTGATCTCCTATTTTCCTTAGATTTTTGTGTTATGTGCTTCATAAGTTGTTTGTTTCATACACTCTCAATCCCAAAATATTTGCCACATTTTCTTTTTCAACATTTACGAGAACTTTTATTTATTTGTACGTTTTTCATTGATTATTTGATAAAATAAAATATTCTTGATACCTCTTATTTTGAAAAATTTTTAATGTAGATTTTAAATATGTAAATTTTATTTTTTATTTCTATACCAATATTTAAATAAAATGAATTGAAAAAACTTAATATTTTGTCTCATTTTTTGAAATGTTGTAAACATTTAGGAAGAGGAGTATAAAATTCATGATTACGGAGTAAAAGTTATTATTATGAGTCACAAATACTCCCTCCGTCTCCCAATATTTGTCCACTTTCATTTTTGCACACAATCCAATGCACTTTTTTAATCCATTTTATTTTGTAATTTGTATATTAAAAAATTATAGAAATTATATATTAATAATCTATATGTTAAGACAAATCAAACAAGATCACACATGACTATATTTAGGCTTGCACATTGAGAGAATTTGATGAGTCAAAGTGCTTAGATGAACAGTTCCAAAAGTCAAAAGTGGACAAAAACTAGGAGACGGATGGAGTATAACATTCATAAATATACAAACTTACAAAATATGTAAAGTAGTGAGTTCAAATAAGAGTCTCGCGAATGATGAGTGATATACTCCCTCCGTCCTATAATGATCTTCCCGGTTCGCAAAACGAAGAAAAATCCCAAGTTTTTTCAATCTATTTTATTTAAATATTGGTATAGAAATAAAAAATAAAACATACATATTTAAAAACTACACCAAAAGTTCAACAAAACAAATGGTGACAAGAATATTTTATTTTATCATATAGGCCATGAAAACACACAAATAAATATAAATTCTCGTGAATTTGAAATAGTACTCTGGGAAGATCATTATAGGATGGAGAGAGTACTACGTAACAAAAGAATTGGTTACAAACATTATCAATTATTGAATTCATTCATCATACGCATGTAGAATGGATACAAAGCAGATGAAATTAATAATAATACGGAGAATTCTATCCGTTTGACAATAACAATACAACAAATCATCCATAATCAATTGCAAGCTTAAGTATGCGTGTATTCATTGAGTCAGAAATACCCTTCCAAGAGAACACTATTACCAGAGACCACTGAAGTCAGATTCTTCACTTTAAGACTCTGCCCCAAGCTCTTAAACCTGTGTGATCCTCCTCCCCAGACTGGCAACACTTCCACCACAACCTTCTGGAACAGTTTTTGCTCGAATCCCTCTTCCAAAATCCGGTCAAATTCGCTAGCGCTGCACCTGACATCCACCACAACACTAGATATCCCCCGGCGTTCACACTGTTCAAGAATAGATGTGAAACTCATTGCATCCAAAGCGACCAAGTCGGCTGCTCTTTGGTCTGAATCATGTACCCCCACTTTCTCTGTGAAGACGATCACTTTCTGAGTCGCTTCTGCACTGGAGGGGAGGGGGTTGTTTGGTAGATCTGGAGAGGCAGCTAATACAATGTGAAGTGGTTGGTTGGCTCCAGGCTCTTTTGATGTAAGAACTGAGTGGGGGTTATCTCCTGACAGGGTGGAGAGATGTATGACTGCGTCATTTTCTTGAAACAGTTTTGAGTAGTAGCCACCTGACTCTGCGACACCCTCTCCTAGCTCTCCCAAAAGATGGCCATCAAGTGAGATGGAGTACCTGCAGCGGACGATCAAAGATAAATGACAATTTCCATTTACTAATAATACACGGAGGGGTTTTGAAATGAAATAAATTTATGGTATGTTTGGGAAATAGATTTGGATTTCAAATCCGGATTTGGCTCAAATTCCATGTTTGGGAAACTTAAAAATTTTGAATTTGGATTTGAGTCAAATTCTTCTCATTCATAACAAAGCTTAATTTGAAATCTATGCACCTCCCCTTGTCATTTGAAATTCAAGATTTTAAATTTTAGAATTTAAATGCATGAATTGAAATGAAATGATAATTGCCAAACACTACCTTAGGGTTTTTAAAATATTTCTCTTGAGTTCTTTTCTTTGTTATTCATCCATGGAATTCACTGTGTTTATATTTAGTCCCTCTTAAGCTTCGTTTTTTTAAAAGATGGACTTTGTTCGCACGACTTCAACCTGGACTTCCACTTAAATGCGTTTTTTTAACCTTGCAAATGTCTTGGAAGTGTAGGCCCGGAGTATTGCCCACGAAAAAATGATCTATGTACACTGACTGAAAACATATTTTAGCTTTTTTTTAAAAAAATTACATGGAAAGTCTAGGTTAGAGTAATGTGAGTCCACAACCTGGTAAATTATAAGGACAAATGACAAATGGGAGTAACTTTTAAGACCTAAAACAAATAATGCTATATTGGTAGAATTGCAGGGGCAAATGACATATTTAAGCCTAAAACCAGACGAAATCAAAGGTCAGCTGTGATTTACTACCTCAAAATAACAAATGGCTTCCCTGTCAACATTCGATGTGTGAAGGCTTCATTAAGCTTCTGGCAGAGTTGTTCCTCAACACCAACTGTCACTTCAATTCCCGCATCACGTAGTCTATCCAACCCTTTTGAGGCCACAATGGGATTTGGGTCTACCATTCCAACAACCACCTTCCTCACTTTGGCTTTGATCAGTGCATCCGCGCATGGTGGAGTCCTACCATAATGGTTACAAGGTTCTAAGCTCACATATGCAGTTGCATCTTGAGCCATACTCCCAGCATCTCTAAGTGCAAAAACCTAAGATTTTTATTTATTTATAATATCTACCTGCACCAGAAATATACTAATAATAGTAATAATAACTAACCACTAACTCAGTCCCCATGATAAGCCTTCTTAGTTCAAGCTCAAGATCATATCCTTACTCCCAACAAACTAAAAATCAATTTTTTTCGATCCTAAGACATGTTTTCTGCATCATGCATCTTCTCAATGCAGTTTATGGTTAGATCTACATATCCATTCTAGAGAAAGCATAGATCAAGATCTAACACTCATTTTCAACTCTCAAAACCATCAAATAATTCATGATCCCTCATTGTGTATATTTTTATAAACAGCAAGAAGTTAAATACTCCCTCCGTCCCCCTAAGATGTTCTCATTTTGACTTTTGGTGGTTTTTAAGGAGAGTTGAAAAAAGGTGAAAGTTTACCATAATACCCTTAATGAAAATGGGTGGAGTGTATTAAATGAGGTGGGTGAGGTGTAATAAATAAAGTAAGTGGGGGTAGTTATGGTATTTTAGTTGTTAAAAAATGAAATGAGAAGATCTATTGTGGACAAAGAAAAAGGGCTATTGGGAAGATCTATGGGGGACGGAGGGAGTAGCATTCTAGAAAGTATAATTTTTGGGGAGACAAAGAGAGGGGAGGATATGGACAACACTCACCTCAGCATGAGGTTGACCGGCTCTTGGGTGATACCCTTCACCCACAATCCTCCCATCTTTAACAATAACACAACCAACCATAGGATTAGGACTTGTGAACCCAACTGCCTTCCTAGCAAGCTCTACACATCTCCTTATGTAAAACCCGTCATCATTATCATTGTCCCTTTGTGAGCCTTCGCTCATTACATTCACCACCACACATCTACCGCCATTTCTTGAACTCTTTGGTGATCCAGATGCCATTTTGATTGAATTAAAATACCCATATTTCACTTCAGATGAACCAACCAAGCTTTTTGATTGAGTGCATGGAGAAACAAAATGAGCTGAAGGTGAAAACTTTGTCGAAATGGGACTGCACAATGATACTGTGAGTGCTTTCGCATACATTTCTAACAAAATAAAATGTGTTAGCATGAAGGTGCATCTACTGGGTCAAACGTTATATGAAAGAAGAAGATTCAAGAAGAATATGGAACAGAAAAATTGTAAATATAAGAACTGCGCTCCAACTTAATGCTGTACCTGAGGCCTTGAGTACAATTCTGCTATTAAGCTTGCAGGTTGTAGGAAAGGCACAACTTCTTTTGAGTGCTATTGACCACAGCTATAAGAGCTAGTTGAAAGGCATAATAGAAAGCACAAGGATCTGGTAGTACTCTCTGTCTATAATACTTTGCTTATAGCTCTATCTACATTGCCTCTGAAACTCATTTTGTCTCTGTACTGCAAGTCATAGGTTATCTTATGATGGAGGAATGCAATCTCAGCGTTAAGTAAACAAGTGGGTGGAAATTAAAGGAAAAAATGTATCTAACACTTTTTTAAGAAAATGAAAGGTACAGAATGTTTCCAATTTCCACCAAAACTAGAACTCATGGTCAACTACAATGACAAGTGCACTCTGGACTTCTAGTAGAGCATTTTTTCATAATGTGACTAAAAGTATTTCATAATAAGTTTCAGAATGTCATGTAATACAAAATGTCTGATAACGTAATACGAAGTAACAAAACAGTATCATATTGTGTATCAATAGTGTACGGGTTGCATCGACAAAATAAAGAAATCAACCGATTCAATTCTTTCCCATACATGGACATCTAAAATAACACAAATATACAATTACTCAATGCACGTGTATAACTACTGTGTACACATAGAAGATCATAAACCATGACAGGAAAAGTTATAACATAGCAAGAGCATCATATCTCAATTTCATCAAATCAAAGGCCAAAAACCCCAACGAAGAATCCAGAACAAAAATCCATATAACAAAAGACTGACTAAGGGTCCGTTTGGAAGCTAGTTAGCTAGGAAAATAACTTCTGAAAAATGCCTTGTTTTCCTGAAGTCAATTTCCTTTCCCGGTGTTTGGCTATAAGTACGAAAACTATCTACTCCATTTTGTCTGGTTCATTTCTAGAAAATGAGTATACGAAAAATGAACAAATCAAGAACCAATTATCATAGCACCAAAAAGTATTAGCACCTATAGTTTCTCTTGAATGGCAGAGTAAAGCATCAAATCACTTCGGGAAATTTTCTTACATTTGCATTGAAATTTCTAATGAAATTTCATGTGGAAAAAAACTCATTCAACATCTATATTCAAACAAGCTAAAATTCAAGAATTGGGTGTGCTGGGACTCAAACCTAGATCTAAAATTCATCTAGCATATTCTTCAAAACATATCACCAAGGATATCTGTCTGAGGCAGGGGCGAGGAAAAAGATGTGGCGAGGAGAGAAGAAGGCGCAGAAATGAAGGGGGAGAAGAAGAAGCGCAAAAACAGGGAGAGAAGAGGAAGAGGAGAATAATATGCAGAGAAGAAGGGGTCAAGGAGGAGAAGAACTGAAGAAGTAGAGAGAACAGGGGGGCTCGGGGGGAGAAGAAAAGAAACGGAAAAGAAAGAGAGAGAGAGAAGCAGATAAACGAAAGATGAAGGCAGCGGCTTTGAACTCGGAAAATGACTTCCGGATTAACCATAAAAGTTCTGAACCAAATACTGCACCTCTATAATTTAAGTCCCTAAAACATTACCATAAATTTACCACCATCTATCTGATCAAAATAATATTGAACTGAATCTAACCTGAACCCCGGACCCCATGTAGCATCGTACCTATGATAGGGGAGATAAGTGCCAGAGACTGGTTGGGTTATGTTGATGCCTTCGTGTAGTAGCAATGACTACGATCAGTTCAAGACTTCATTCATGCAAAGGAGGTAGCAGGCACTTCAACTCTACATATAGTATTTGCTACCCTCTTAACTTTAAATGCTTCAGTTCACTATTTTGGTTTTGGTTTTTGTTTTTGTTTTTTTGTTTTTGGGGAGAGAGAGAGAGAGAGAGGTCAAATAAGCTAGGTAAATGAAGGTAAGTAGGCAGGGTAGTTTGAGGGATATGAAGTTTTATAAAAAGTTGTTTGGATAGTTATGAGGTAAATGAAGGTAGGTATTTATAAAAATGATGTTTAAATGAGGTAAAATACATTGGGTAGAGATGTAAACACCTTAATACCCTTCTTAATATCTAACATATGATTCTAATATATACTCCCTCCTCCCCCCTTTTATCTTCAACTTTTCCTTTTTGAGTCATCCCTAACTAAAGTTCTCCTTAACATTTAAGAAAAGGATTGTGTGCTTCATATCAATTCTTCTATTTCTAAATAAATATCAACCACATAATCTAGTTTCTTTACTCCGTATAAAAGCAAGGAAAAACATTAAGCAGGGAAGAGCTGAGAAAATAACAGATTTCTTTCAATAAAGAGCTTAACTCCACCCAAATAGGATCCTCAAGAGGTGGTGGTTTTCCAGACTTTATAAACTAGACGTTTGTCTCATAACTCATCAATGTGGGATATCTAACACATCCTCCTCACCCGAATGAGACAAGAGACTAGCGCCCCAACTAGCAGACCAGAAGTGTATAAATGACAAATGGGACACATTCTTAATTGCACATCCCTCAGTTCCTGAATGCATTGCATAGTTTGAATTTTTTAGTCAAATTGTGTAATTTTGAGCATAAATTGCATTAAAAATTTATATTGAGTTAAAATGTAAAGGTAATATCATTAGATTTGTTTTAGAATGTTGTTTTTGACTTTATTATATATATAACTTTTATTTGTATTTAACAAAAGATATTATTGGTTAAAATGTTGTCTCGAAGCATAAAATATTCAAACTCTGTAAAGTATTTTGGGAAAGAGGGAGTATTTACACGGGGGGGGGGGGGGGGGGGA